GATCTTTTTCAAAAGGAAAGGGATTCAAGAGATGGAGTGGGGGAGGAAGGGGACAGAAAAGAGATGAAAATAGAATTGAGATGTGTTATACACATGCACCAGTTCCCCAGAAGGAATGCTATCACTCTGCAATGCAAGTGTGTTTTAATAAAGTTACAAATGGAAAATAAATGAGAAGTAGAAAAAAGTAGAAGGCTTAGAAATGAGGCAAATTTTCCTCCCATAAGATAGGGAGAAACACATGGGAATTTCGAAGATAACACTTTACTGAATAAGATATATTTTAACAAATCATTCAATATAAAAAATATGCTTTATGTTTCCTGAACTTTCTGAGTGAAAGTTGCATTATTTACACTTTTTGAGAGTGTGAGGACACCCATCAGTGAAGCACATGAGTTTAAGATCATGGAGGAGATCAGGAAATACAGACTTGTGAGTTACCCATAGCAGGCGGGTAAACTATGTCTTGCAGGCCAAAAGTGGTGAATCACTGCCAGTTTTTGAAAATAAGGTTTTATTTAAGCACAGCTCATTCATTAATATGGTGTCTATGAAGGCTTTTATAGTCAACAGCAGATTTGCATATTGGCAACAGTGACCCCAGGGCTTTGAAATCCTGAAATATTTGCTCTGCTCCTTCACAGAAAGTCTACTGACCCCTTGGCTCTACAATAAATGAGGACATAAGAATGGATGACACCATCCAGAGAAAATGCATAGATAAATGCAAGGTAGAGAAAGGGAAGGAAGGAAAAGGGCAAGTATAAAAGGGAAAAGAAGGGGACACAGGAAAGTTCCCTGAGGGAGTAAAAGAGAAACCTGGAGAGAACACTGAATTGGAGCAATGAAATATATTGTGGCATCAACTTTTATTAGTTTGAATGGGTCTTCCCAGTTTAATCTTGAAGCATATCACAGCAAACTTAGTAACTATGATACAAGTAAAAGTAATAAGTGGATGGATTGTGAACTACTTGAGAGCTAAAACCATAACATCTGTTTCTAGACTTTTAGTCTTTAGAAAACAACTCTTGCTCAACACGGTTGGAGACTCTTTGAGGATCCAAACCTTACTGCCACTGCCATAGAAGATAGTTATGTCCCTCCCTATGATACTTATGTTACTATATATCTTTTATCCACAAAACAAAAAAGAAAAAACCTAGGCTCAATGAATACTTTTCAAGTACATATTTTGGGAGTGACATCACTAAGATGGCTAAATAGGAATTTCCAGAATCTTTCTCCTCCCAGAAACATCAATTTAAACTGTCCATGCATGAAAACACTTTCACAGGGGCTCAGGGATTCAGTTGAGAGCTTACATCAACTGGCTATAGCACAGAAATAAGACGAGACACATTGAAGAGGGGGAAAGGACAGTTTCACCTTACCTGTATCATCCCTTGACAGAACAGGTGAAATGATTAGGGATCACCGTCGTGGGACAGTGGTGGGCAGAAGGCTGGGACAACAGAATAAACTCCTGGGCCAGGAAACTATTGACCTTTGTAGGATGGCATGTTTCAGCAGACCCATCATGAGACACTGATAAAAAACCACAGAAGCAGAATGTGCACATGAAGCAAGAAACTCTAACCAAGTAAAACCCAAATAAGCCCGCTAGCCTCGCTTGGTCTTAGTCAACTTACAACACTAATTTTACAAGTCACTCAGCTAGGGAATACATTAGCCTTCCACTAGCTTTGCTGTAGCTAACACCTCTGATGTGGGGGTGTGATAACAGTTGCCTGGGTTACTTCCCAGGGACATGAAGGCTGCTTTTGCTGAAAACATTGACTCTTCATTAGAGATCGTAGAAATGTGACTGGTGACTAAAAAGGAATAAAAGGCTTGGCATCTCTATCTCTGTTTAGTCCAAGGCTGCTGCTAACACAGGGTTAACCTGGCCTGTTGCTCACTGGAGATGGTGTGCATTATCTTCTTCTTTCCTTCTTCTCTTTTCTCTGCCATGACTTTGTGCCTCTTCACAAGCCACTAAAGCTGAAGCACTTGAAGACCTTCAGCCCTATCACAGGGCCTGAACCCACCAGGCACAGTGTGATGGTGTTGCCACTGCATAATGATGCCAGATACACAAAAACTCAAGATCCTCTAGCTTGATTAAGACCATGTGGTGGCCCAAGCTCATCACAAGAAACATGTTTTGGAACCATACCCCTGGACAACGGGAATTACTGGACATTAACCCACCCCAGCAAATTACTGAAAACCTGCCGCCCTCTATTCTGTGACCAGCAGTTTGGTCATTGTCTTCACCAACTGCTGACTCCTTTTAGCTAAAGACGTAGTTCAGCTGAAGCCTTCCTCACTACCACCGCCTTCCATTAAAGCTTTGCCTATGTAGCATCCAGAGACCCGGGCTCAGGGACAGCCCTTGTACCAAGAAACCAGCCCAGCATCCACAGACTGGCCTTCAAGGACCAAGGATTCAGGCCCACTCCCGATCAAGCTCCAGTGGACCCAATATTCAGCCCACACCAGTAATCCCTGGTGGCAGACTGGCCCCTACAGACACAGGCTGCAGGAAGGCCCTAGACCTGACCCTGCAAACTCAAACTCTGGTCCTGCTCCAGCACCAGGCCAATCCCAACGGACTTAGGTTTTAGGCCTGTTCCTATGGACCCGGGTGACAGGACCATCAAAACCAACAAAACTCGGCCTGATTAAATACCACTGTGCTCTAGTATTTTAAACAATGTTAATAATAAAATACTTCTCAGAAAAGTCTTTCCTTGGTCCAATTTCTGAACCATCGGTGAAGTTACTGTTGAGTGTTTTTATTATATAAGCAAGCTTCACATTAGCTTACTTTTACCAATAAGTATGTCACTGTATATAGAGGTAAATTTAGGGAACTGCCAGGGAATCAATAGTGCCTCACACAAACAGGCTCCACTACACGAGTTCCTTCAAAGAGTGGTTTTCAATCACTCAACCTCAGTTTGGGTGCAAGTTCATGTCTCTAACTCTCCAGTACAACATATGCCCAGGTTTAAACTATACTTTCAAAATAAACAGTGACAGCACAGTGCGTATCTCTACTTTTTGGAGGAGGGCTCAACATGCCGCCTTTATTAATTTCCTACTGCTGCCATACTACAAATTCAGTGGCTTAAAACTTACAAGTGGCTGCACTTTTCCCTTCTGCAAATGCAAAAATTTGTCTCTGCTTCTTCCCCGCCTCCAGAGGATGTCAGGATCACTACCTGGAATAGTGCCACACACTGAGTAAAGCACAGACGTTTATACATCTCCCAAACAATTCAGAGCAAGTCCTCAAATCTCACACTTCCCCGCCTCTAATACAACACTATCACTTACTAATCAGCCCCTTCCTCCAGCTTCCAGTAGCACGTGCTCTCGGCAGCAGCAGCCTTTCAGTGAATCTTTCTACTGACAGTCTATGCGAGGCAGCTTAGTTTTTCTCTATCAGGTACCTGAAAATTCTTCCACCTTCCTTCCACCCACTGCCTGATTCCAAGGTCAGCTCCTATATTTTAGATATTTGTTACTTCCAGCACTGCACTTCCAGTACCAAAGTCTATAGTTTTACAGTGCTCTTATAACAAATTACCACATAATTAGTGGCTTTCAACAACACTCATTTATCTCCTAGCCCTGTGGGTCAGGAGGTACAACTTACCTGGTCCTCTGATCAGGGTCTCACAGGGCTGAAATCAGTGTCAATCTCATCTGAGGCTCAAGGTCTTCTACAGATTCACTAGCTGCAGACAGAATGCAGTTTGTTTGCAACTGATGAGTCAAATCCCATTTTCTTGCTGGATGCCAGCCAGACAACAAACTCCACAACTTGGAGGGGCACCCTCGGGTCCTTACCACATGGCCACCTCCTCCCACAGCATGGGTGCTCATTTCCATAAGGCCAACAGGAGAGTATCTGATGCAGCTGCTTGTGTCTTTTAAGGACTCACCTGATTAGGTCGGATCCACCCAGGATCATCTCCCTTTTAATTAACACAGTATCCAGTGATCTGCAACCTTAATCACAGGAATGAAATTCCTTCAGATCCCCAAGACTTGCTCACAGTGAATGGGCAGGAATTATACAGAACATGCATATCAAGGGGTGGAAATATTGGGACCATTTTAAGAATTGTTTATGACATCAGAGCACCATTATGCCCACTCCCGCTCTGCTAACATGGGAGGCTGCCTTGGATTCTTGGCTTCCTATTGTGCAGCCAAAATGTTCCATATACTTACTCTTCCTTTCCCAAGCTCTCATTATCCATTTCTGGAACAGATGTGTCTTGCTTTATAGCAGTCTTTCATCTTCATATTTCTTGTTCTTTATAAAAGAAGCCATTGAGCCTGTCACCCTGCCGGTGTGCAACCTGGAAATGGCCACCAAAAGCACAATTTTATGTGGCCAGTAAATCTTTGTTCTTCCTTCCCCTGAAACAATGTGTACGGATGGGCATGTTCATGGATACTTAACAGTGTTAAGGACTAGAGAAAATGAACACAGTAAAGGAAGCTCTGAATAACAAAGCCAACCTGGCATGAAGTACATGAAATTCTTCTACATCCTCAGAAATATTTTTATAAAATAAAACCTCTAACAAAGAGGTTAGATATTGTTAAGAATTTGCCAAAGAGAATTCATGGAGAAAGTAATTTGCTTTGTACACAAATGCTGCTTGCTGCGTCTCTCTAGTTCAGCTCTTACCTAGAACAAAATAAATCAGTTACTTTTAATTTTGTTTTTCTCCTATGTGCACTGAAGGAAAAGAAAGTCCCATTTCACCCTTCTGTGCTCTGGTAAATCCTTTCTTGCATGATCACCCTGGGGTTAGACTTGCAAGAGTACTAACTGTATGCATTAGAAACTGTGCGCTTTCCTGTAATTTCGCAGTCAAGTCTATAGGGACACACACAAACCCTTATATCCACGTGAAGGAAGGTGAAGCCTGCAGTTTGAAAAGCCGATTAGATAAGGAAATGCTCCCCGCTCCCATAAAACCAGTGTTTATTTGTGGAGTCTGACAAAACATTTTAAACTGTTGGGCTACTATATAAATATATATGTTATTATCCACTGCATGATAAAAGGGAGACCACTATCCGGCTTTATATTTTACTATGTTGTTATTATTTGCTAGCTTTCAGAGAACAGCCTGGCTATCAAAAGAGAAGTACTAAAACAGGTCCACATCTTGCTCTTCTACTATGAGCAGGGCTGCCTTCACTATTCAGACAGGTTCAGGCTAGTGCTGTTCTCCACATAGAGTACTTACATGGTCTTTTTTAGACATACCAAAGGAAATTACAGAGCTACAGTCAATTCGTATATAAGGACAACTAATCCTAGGATCAGGTACAACTTAACAGCTTGAGAGAACTTCACTATAGCAAACAGTGAGAAGAATTAAGAAACATGTATCAATAATTTTATATAAGACATAGTAGAAAGATTATATACCCAAAAAAATTTGAAGTGTCTAACAACTTCAAATATGTCTTACAAGCCACAGATATAGATAATCATAAGTACCAAGAACAATTTATTTACAACGATTTTTACTTGGACAGCAGTTGAGAGTCAAGAAAAAACATATCAAACAATTAACTAAGACTCGCCTAGTAGGCTTTTAAGTCAGTTCATTCAAGGGAACAACCAGAGCAACTCCTGATTATTATGTTAGACAGATGTTATTTTAGTGTCCTTCAACTGACAAGGACATACATTTAACCAAAGGAGTCTATGCAAGTAGCACTGTGGTACCTGTAGCCTCATTTGAGTATCAGTCTCCAGAGTCCTGTACTCTGTCTACCTTACACAGATGCTTCACAGCTGTGGTGGATGTGTCAGCTTTCTTTTCTTTTTCTCCTCCTTTGTCACTTTTCTTTTTCTCCTTCTCTGGTGATTCTTTCTTTTTCTCCTCTACTAGGTGCTCCTTTCTCTACTTTCTCTGCTTCTCCTCCATTGTCAGCTCCTTTCTTTCCTCCATCCTCTGTTCCATTGACTCCTTTCACTCCTTCTTTGTCATGAACACTGATATAAACAGCTTTGTTATATCCTTCTTGATTCCGAGCAATTTCACTGGCAAAAAATTGTATCCTGGGGGCTGGAAGGGGAATAGAATTGATTATCATCTTCCTACAGTAATTCCCTAAACCTATTGGAAATCTATACACAATGTTGAACTCACATGCAAATCATTCAAATATAGTCACATAAGCTTCAGAATGTGAATTCTAATCTCATCTTAATGACAATGAAAATATCCATCTTACAGTTACTTATGAGCAACATGATCTTTAAAGATACAAACAATAAGATGACAGCCAATCTAACTAGGCATTTCACTGATTCCTCAGTAAACAACACCCCTCACCCACTCTCCATATACAGAAGCAATTGTAGAGGCAAGAAACTCACCAAAGATAGTATTTTCCTCTGTGTGGCCCTGAGAACAATCCAGTCGCAGCAAAGTACCATAGTTGTAGTCTTCTACAATCCTGCCAAACTTCAAGCAGAATGGCCTCCACTTCTACACAGGCAAAAAAAGATACTTTAGCTGATAGACACAATAGGTTGAGGTTCTTGGTCCAGAAGTGGGTCTTCCACTTCCCCAATGACAAAAGTAACTTTCACTGAGAGGACTGAGGTGACTGCTAACTTCACATTGAAACTACTATCAAGTCTCTGTTCTATATATTGTGCCCTTAGACTGGTATTTCCCTCCATGAACAATATATTGATCTGAACAAAAAGGATCTAAATCTTTTACAACAGAATTCTTATGTGATTTGTTAAGCAGATTTTCTGTTTTGTTTCAAAGTTATTGGCTAACTCAGGCCAAACTGGTTATTCATCGTCACTAAGGCATAAACCAGGCAAAGAAGACAGGAATTTGGACCAACGTCATAAAATTAGATCTTAAAAAGAGAAGGGCATTCAGTAGCAGCAACTTCCCCAAGATCAGTAACAGCTTGCTAGGAGTTCCAGGTTCAGATTGTTTATTAGCCAAAGGCCCACTCTCAGAGAAAAAAAATTCTGTAACTATTAGGAGTATTAGTGCTCTGTGATACTCTAAGATAATCACATGAGCAATAAGCACCACAAGCTTCCCACTTGCCAGTGGCTTTTTTTTTTTCACATATTGTTTTTTGGTAGAGGAAATCAAACTCAGGACCTTGTGTTTGCCAGGCAGCACTTGTGCTACTGAGCTGTATCCCCAGCCCTGCCAGTGGCTTAAGATTGATCTAGTGAACTTAAACCCAGAGAACCAAAATACCTCTTTACATGCTCTTTCCCACTCCCCAACTCCAAGCTTTCAATATATACTACCTATGTAAGTAAACGGATTGCTCCCATCCTTCTGAAATGGCAATGTGAGTTCAGATTCAAAGTGTCCAAGTCAAAAGGAAAAAAAAAAAATACTCAATAACATCAACAAATCCATGAACCAAAAAGTGATTCATTCCATAATTCATTTAGTTGAGTATAACTACAAAAAAGCCCTGGTTCTTTATATATTTTCCTTAAAACAACTTTCAAGAGTTTAAATTTATTAATATATATTCACAATCAAAACTTGGCCAGATGCTAGGTAATATCTGAGAGAATTCTTACCTCTTTAGCCGAATCTGATTTGAGTTCTTCTGGGTCCAATACATCTATCTTGAGTTTCTCAAAACACTCCCGGAATTCAGAGTAGATCTGATCATCCACTTTGGTGAGTTTCAAGAACTGTGGGTCAACTGATGAAATCAGCTGCCAGAGAGTAAAACCACATACAGATGCTTGTCTTTAATTTTTTACACTTCTACCCCTCACCCCCACTCACCATAAACCCTATGATCCTCAGGGCAGAAGATTTCATTAAGAAGGATAACAGCCTACGCCTTGCATGAAATCATGATGAAGTTTTCAAAGGCTTTAATACATTGCCGTCCTTCCACCAATTTGGCCACTGGTCCATTTGGTCTTAGCACTGCTGAGTTGTTGCTCTCTATGGATTTTCTTTCCTTCAACAAACATCTATAAAATATCTACTATTTACAGACACTCTTTTGCCAGGTAGCAACAAAACACTGGGCAGAGATGCACAACTCTTCATTGTCAAAACAAATTCACTTCTACCCCCGACCTCTGCAAATAAGATTTATACTAATTAAAACTACCTCCAAAACATAATGGTTCAACTTGCTGACAACAGTGCCTAGCAGAGCATCATACACTACAATAACACACTTAATTCTGTTTAGCAATGAAGACAGATAGCTCACCTTGTAATATACTTCAGCATGCTGCATTGCTCTCATAGCCCAAGCCATCTCAATATCTGGCTGCAAAGGAGTGAGGAATACCAGGTCAGTAATTTCCCAGTCCTGCTACTGGGTAACAAACAAAGAAGTCTGTGGATGTCTAGTTAGTGCTCAAAAGGGCACCAACATTGCTGTTACTGTCAAAGGATAAAAACTGGACTGACAGATTTGCATAACATACTCATTCTTTTTTCCTTATGACAATCAAAAGAACATATTTACACAATGAACCACCGGTTATCTTTTCCCAGCAACTAGTCAAAGGGTGGGAGACTACATAAAGCAGTAGATAAATTGGCTTCTCAGGACTAAGTTCATCATTGTAATAATTAAGTAATATGTCCACTTAGACTACTGAGTTGTTGGGAAGACAAAGATAATGAACGTGAAACCACTTTTCAACTTTTGCGTGTAGCATTTCACAATTATGATTTTTGTTTATTATACAGTCAACTCCCCATCCTGTAATGCCTACAGATCAATCAGTCTCATGAAGCAGGCCCCATTATATGTAAGTCTTCTTACCAACCACCTACATCACTTGTTCCACTGGAATCTCCCACTACAACAGGTGGATGGATCTACTTCATAAACTCTAGAACCAGCTATTTGAATTTTACCTCCATGCCTAGACCATGCCCAAACTTCAGCTAACTGCCAATCCATGTCCTTTGTTCACTTACACTTTGAGGATACAGTTCAACCTCCACTTCCTCAGCAGTCTTCTACTGCCTCCATCCTTAGAGGATGCTATGCCCTGACCCACTGATCAACTATGCATTACTTTCTCATGCAGTTGTTGCTACTATTCTCACCATCCTTTTGTTTCTCAAAATAAATCATCGGCTTTCTCCATAAAGGGCTAAACCTACAAACTGTGGCTGCACAATGAAATCACCCCAGGATCTTTAAAAAATATTGATTCTCGACTCCCATCTCCCAGACATTGTGACCTAAACATAAACATTATGACACGCTGTAATCCGATCATGGGGGTGTTTAAAAGCCTCCCAGGTGATTCTAAAGCTTAGCAAATTTAGGGAAACAATTCTATGTTCACATAGATTAGTCCTGCGCTTGTGAACGGAGATTAGCACGAACTGAAAGAAGGTGAAGATCTGGGCGGATGTGCACCGCGTCTGCAGAAGATACCAGGGAAGGGGCGTATAATTTAGTAGCAGGCCTTGCAAAGCTCTCAGGCTTGCTTTATGGATGGGAGCTGTGGGTGAGTCATACTCACATCATTGCCGTAAGACTCTGCTGGCAGAGAAAGAGCATTTGCGATGGACACTACCTCCGCGGAA